TATCTTCTGTGTCTGTGTTAATTGGTTTCCCTTTTCTTTGTTGAAGAGGGTCTGTGCAATCCTTCTGCCTAGTCCGCCATCTTGCCCCGCCTCTAATGTTAATTTTTAAGGATAATCTCCGGGCAATAGTTTAGCAAAATCATCTAGCCTTAATGGCTCCAGAAAGTCTGGATTCTATGAGATTTGAAATTCGGTTCTGTATTTTACCCACTCTTGATTAGGATTCTGCTATAAAATCTTTGATCAAAATGTTCAGTAATGGTAGCCAGGCCATCCAGTTCTTGTCTCACGACAGAGGAGGCAGTTGTTCATGAGGGCAGTTACGTGTGCAGTCCAGTTAATAAGTAAACATTTTAAAAGTTAAAACACAAACAAACAAACTGAAATCAGTAAATATGGAGGTGGTCATTTATGAGTGTGTGTGAAAAGGCACAGTTGCTCAAGAAGGCAAGAATGATCATCTCAAAGCAGGGAATACATTTCCGGATCTAGTCCAGCCAGAAAAACAATCAAAAAGGGACATCAGGGAAGGAAATATGAATCAATTGGGAGTAGAATACATGGAGTCAGAGAACCAGGGAGGATTAGAATGAGTATCACTCAGAGGGAACAGGAGTGCTCCTTCACCCCCGGGGGACTGACTCCACATACAGGACTCAGATAGAATGATAAGAGAAGAACATAGAAAAGACAAATCTCTTAGAAAAAAAAAAATATATATGATTAGAGTAAATTAGAAGGTTTTAAAGCAAGGTAATTGATCATTTTCACAGCAATTTCATCTTTCTAGGCCAGATTTTGAACTGATTTGTATTGTTTCTTAGTCTTGCAAACATATGCACTCTCTAAGCGGCAGCTCAGATTTATAAGAATATTGTTGCATTCAAATGAGTTCATTTGGATAAAATTGGCCTTTTTTCTCCTGATTTTCATCTATATTCTCTTTACGATTGCTGATAGCCATCAACTAGTGCACAGAATTTTACATATGGCAAAGGATTGCTTTAACTTTTTTCTCCCCTTGGAGTCTTTTTGTACCTTTGAAATGTCTATTTTTTTCTAACTTTGACCTTCTCACAGTTTCTGTTAACCTTATCCTTCCCAAATTGACAGCATTGTTTTTTCCTTAAACAGACACAAGTGACTATCTTAAAATTATAAGTGGTGTCAATTGTCCTTACTGTATCAGTAAGGATTGGGGCCTGTCACTTAACACATTTTTATTCTTCTGGCAGTGGTGGCTCTGTGGTTAAGGCATTAAGCTGCTAACCAAAAGGTCTGCAGTTTGAACCCACCAGCCACTCTGTGCAAGAAAAATGAGGCGGTCTGCTTTCATAAAGATTTATAGCCTTGAAAACCCTATAGCAGTTACCTTGAGTCAGAATCAATTTGATGGCAGTAGGTTATTGGTTTTGGCAGCCTTTCCAATTCCTCCTATTGTCCTAGTTTCTGATCCTCAACACTAATATCATCCTCAGTGATATATTTTTTTCCCTGTATTTAATTATAGAGAGCTGGGAGGTTCTTCAAAATTAGATCCCCATCTCCAGAATTATTTTAGAATTATAGAAGGTCTAAGCTGAATGGCTCAACTAGTAGATGGGAAGTTGGCAGTTTAAACCCTACAGGCACCTTGGAAAACAGACCTGGCAATCGGCTTCTGAAAGTCACAGGCAAGAAAACCCTGTGGATCAGTTCTACTCTGCATACATGGGTTACCATGAGTCAGAATAGACTCAACAGCAACTAACAACAACAAACCTAATGGGCAACCACTGTGGAAAACAGTGTGGCACTTGCTTAAAAAGTTGGAAATAAAATATCCATTGATCCAGCAATCATACTAATAGGTATATATCCTAAAGAAGGGAGAGCCAGGACATGAGTAGATATATACACATCCATGTCTATTGTGGTACTACTCACAATAGCAAAGAGATGGGAACAAACTAAGTGCTCATCAACAGATGAGTAAATAACCAAACTATGGTACATACACACAATGGAATACTATGCAACACTAAAGAATAATGAAGAATCTGCAAAACACCTCATAAAATGGATGAGACATTATGCTGAGTGAAATAAGTCAATCACAGAAGGATAAATATTATATGAGTCCACTATTACAAAAGGTCAAGGAAAGATATACACATGGAAAGAAACATTATTCGATAATTACCAGGGATGGGAGGAGAGGGGAGGGACAATTACTAGATAAGTAAGTGACACATATTGATTTGGGTGAAAGGAAAGACAATATACCAAAAGTAGGTGATCAGCACAATATCCCTAAGGAAAAGGAAGCCACAGAAAGGTACATAAGAGTTACAGACTACAAAGGTAAATACTATTACACACAATACTGCATTATCAGAAATAACAAACATTAATCTATGGGTGGATTCACAGGTAGACAAGCAAGATGATCAGCTATGGGTAGACAAATGGGATTACACCCATAACCATGTATAGGTTTGACAGATGATATTTCTACATATGTATGTGCTAAAAAAAATGTCCATATATATAGTAGAGCTAACCTCTTAGTCACAACCAAACACTTTGAGGGAATGAGTTGTAGGGCCTTAGGGCTTGGGACCATACTCATGACAGACAGCAAGTTCAACTGGCATAGCATAGTACACAAAAACATTGTTTTACGTCCCACTTTGGTGCGTAGTGACTGGGGTCTTAGATACAAATGACCATCAAATATGCAACTATAAATCTCTCCTTGACTGGATCAAAGAAGAGTGAAGAAAATCAAAGACACATGGAAATAATTAGTCCAAGGGACTATTGGACCATGGGAACCTCACCCTTCACTACCCTGAGACCAAAAGAACTAGATGGTGCCTGGATACCACTTCCAACCACTCTGAAAGGGATCAAAATTTGAGATCTTACATAGAATGGGAGAAAAGTGTGGAACAAAACTCAAAATTGTTAAAAAGATCAGGCTTAGGGGTCTGATAGAGACTGATGAAACTCCTAAGACTATGACCCTTAGTCACTCTTTGGGCCCGGAACGGAACTCACTCTGGTGGCTCAATTTTCAACCAATCAACAGAAAGACCTATGAGGTGACCAGTAACACCAAAAGGTAGATGCTCCTTTAGAAAGTCAACCATAAGAGACCAAAAGGGCAGCATTTGCCCAAAGATAAAGCTCAGGGGGCAGGAATGGATAGAAAAGAAGGACAAAGGGAAATGGTAACCACAGGGAGGAGATGGGAAGATTGCTGTTACATTGTAGGGATTGCAAACTATGTTAGGGGAAAAAGTGTGTATGAACAGTTGAATGGAAAACCAATTTTCTTTGTAAATTTTCACCCAAATCAAAATAAATAATTAAAAAAGAAAAAAAAAAAACCAAACAAACTAGTGATCTGTACCCTCTCATTTTTATGAATGGGAAAGATGAGGTCCAGAGAAAGAATTAACATGCACAGTCAGAAATCTAGTTAGTAGTAGAATAGACAATAGAGCTCAGGTGTTTTATTTAGTACCTAAGGAGCTCTGGTAGCATAGTGCCTAAGGCATTTGACTGCTAACCAGAAGGCCGGGGATTCAAACCCACGAGCCACTCCTCAGAAGGAAGATGGGGCAATCTACTTCCATAGTGATACTGCCTCGGAAACCCAAGGAGGGGTCGCTATGAGTAGGGTCTAACTCGACAGCACACAACAACAACAACAAGTCAGTGTACTTCTCATTATACTATGCTTTCTCCTAATACTTTTATAGGAATATTGTAAAACATAAAGATTTTACAGATTACAAACATTAGTTATGATTACAATGTTAAAATTTGTATCATCTCTCATCTAGAGCAGGTGATTGGCAAATTTTTTCTTTAAAGGTTCATATAGTAAATATTTCAGGCTTTGCTGGCCACACTGTCTCATCTACTCTGCCCATCTCAACTACTCAACTCTGCCATTATAGCATGAAAGCAGGCACAAACAATATTCAAATAAATGTACATGTCTGTGACCCAATAAAATTTTATTTACAAAAACAGACAGTGGGCCGAATTTGACTTGGGTGTTGTAGCTTTTCAGTCTTGATCTAGAGGAACAGCCATTTCCCTTATTTTATCCACCTGTGCATCCAGACCTAGTCCTGAGGCTGTTTCTCAGTGAACCCAGTAGGTACACTTGACACCAGTTTGGAAGTCATTTCCACTAGACTAGTAAGAACATACCAGTGTCATTGTTTGTGGCCTTTGAACAAAGTTGCAGTTTTTCTATTAAAACATTTTTGCAGAGTGACAGTTAAAACAGGGTAAGGTGACAATATCCCAAAATCTTGACTAGGAGCTGGGCAGCCTTCAATGTGAAGTTATATTTATTCTTTCACTCTCTCATTACAGTGCCCAAAAATTTCTCACAAGAGCTGAGGAATTACACAATGCAAGGCTTCCGTGTCATTGCCCTTGCCCATAAAACCTTGAAGATGGGGATGCTTTCAGAAGTGTTGAGTTTATCCAGGTAAGGAACTGGACCATTGGCAGTATGGTGGGCTTTGTGTGCATAAAATGAATGAGCCCTGTAAGTGGACAGGTTCTTCTCCCCGGGAGGCTCTGGGAGATGGAAAATCCATCTCATCCACTGCTCCAACTTGGAAATGTCAACTATGGGCCCTATCACTCACAATGCCAAGTGATTTGGGTGCCAGTGATTTAGTTATCTTTGCTGTGCCCTGTACCATGCCCATCTCAGTCTCAGCTCCTGTCCCACCAGAAACAACCAAGCCTTCCTTCAACCTCAGATCATATGGCTGACTTACATGAGTATCCCACATATAAACCTTTGGACTCCATTTCTTTGAGGGCTCAATACTATACCTACTTCATATGTGGGTAGGTAATGAGTGCAAATTGAGTTCCTTATATGAAATAAAATTCAGTATTCTTAATTATATTACCAAAAAAAAAAAGAAAAAGAAAAAGAAAAAACTCACTGCTGTGAAGTTAATTCAAATCATAGCAAGACCCCTCCTTGGGTTTCCAAGGTGGTTTCTCTATGGAAGTAGATTGCCCAACCTTCCTTCCGAGGAGTGGCTGGTGGGTTTGAACCACCAGCCTTCTGGTTAGCAGTCAAATGCCTTAGGCACTATACCACCAGATCGCCTGTTGTTGTTATGTGCCATCAAGTTGGACCTGACTCATAGTGACCCTCCTTGGGTTTCTGAGGCAGTATCACTATGGAAGTAGATTGCCCAATCTGCCTTCTGAGGAGTAGCTGTTGAGTTTGAATTACCAACCTTCTGGTTAGCAGTCAAATGCCTTAGGCACTACACTACCAGAGATCCTAGGGAAATAAATTTTCCCCTTTAGAGGATAGTTTTTTTTTTTTTTCCTTTTAGTATATCTCAGGATTCTAATGTTATTTTTTGAATTATCTATGCCAAAGCAGTAGATAAATACAGTGGAAAATTGAATAATACATAATCTATGTATTATTTCTGTTAGATTTTGTATTAGTGATAGTGAGATCCTCATTTACATACAATTAACCTTCTGTGTATGATACTGATCTCCTGGATATTCAACATTACTCTTTGCAACACAAGTCCATCTACTCTAAGATGACAAATAAAATTGTCCTTTTCTTACCCTGAGCCTTTTCCACAACTATAAAATGTATGTAGTGGCAGAGATCCAGGTAAGGGGAAGGACACAGGCCCCACCCCCAAGAGGCAGGAAAGTGGGGAAAAGAAAAGCCAGGTGACCAGACTGACCCAGCAGCAACAGCTGGGATCCAGGTAACAGGAGGGCGGAGAGGTTTCAAACAGCTAAGGGAGACAAACTTGTCTGTCAATTTGTCGTACTGTGATGGCTTGCATGTTTCTGTGAGGCTTGAGGCTGTACACTGGTGTTTCAAGTGCTGGCAGGGTTGTAAATGGTGCACAAGCTTCAATGTAGCTTACAGACTGAGACAAACTAGGAAGAAGGAGGAAGCCATCCACTTCTCAAAGAATTGGCCAGGGAAAACCTTATGAATAACAGAGAAACATTGATACATTACTGGGCAACTTTATGAATAGCCCAGAAACATTGTCCAGTACAGTGAAGGAGGATGAGCCCCTTAGATCAGAAAGCTCTCAAAATACAACTCGGAAAGAGGTACATCATCAGAGTAGAATCAACCTTACTGATATGGATAAAGTAAAGCTTTTGAGACCTCCACTTGCTGATGTGGCATGACTCAAATTGAGGAGAAACAGCTGCAAACATCCATTAATAATTGGAACATGAAATGTATGAAGTATAAATCTAGGAAAACTGGAAGTTGTCAAAATGAAATAGAACACATATTGATTGATATCCTAGGCATTAGTGAGCTGAAATGGACCAGTTTTGGCTATTCTGATTCAGACAATCATATGCTCTATTATACTGGGAATGACAATTTGAAGAGGAATAGCATGACATTCATCATCACAAAGCATGTTTGAAGATCTGTCCTGAAGTACAATGCTGTCAGTGATAGGATAATATCCATACCGTTACAAGGAAGGCCAGTTAATACAACTATTATTCAAATTTATGCACCAACCACCAAAGCTAAAGATGAAGAAACTGAAGATTTTTATCAACTTCTCCAGTCTGAAACTGACCAAATATGCAATCAAGATGTGCTGATTATCACTGGTGATTCGAATGCAAAAGTTGGAAACAAAGAAGAATCACTGATAGTTGGAAAATTTGTCCTTGATGACAGAAATAATGCTGGAGATCTCATGATAGAATTTTGCAAGTCCAGTGACTTATTCATTGCAAATACCTTTTTTCAACAACACAAACAGCAGCTATATATGTGGACTTCACCAGATGGAGTACACAAGAATCAGATTGACTACATCTGTGGCAAGAGGCCAAAACAAGGCCAGGAGCTGATTGTGGAACAGACCATCAACTGCTCATATGCACGTTCAACTTGAAGTTGAAGACAATTAAAACAAGTCCACAAGAGCCAAAATATGACCTTGAATATATCCCTCCTGAATTTAGAGACCATCTAAAGAATAGAGTTGATGTATCGAATGAAGACCAATGACCGAAAACCAGAAGAATTGTGGGATGGCATCAAGAACATCATCCATGAAGAAAGCAAGAGGTCATTAAAAAGAGGAGAAAAGAAGAAAAGACCAAAATGAATGTCAGAAGAGAAGCTGAAACTTGCCCTTGAACAAAGAGTAGCTAAAGCAAATGGAAGAAAGGACAAGATAAAAGAGCTGAAGAGAAAATTTCAAAGAACAGCTTGAGCAGACAAAGCTGATTACTATAATGAAATGTGCAAGAACTTGGAGTTAGAAAACCAAAAGAGAAGAACACATTTGGCATTTCTCAAGCTGAAAGAACTGAGGAAAAAATTTAAGCCTGACGTTGCAGTATTGAAAGATTCTATAGATAAAATACTGAATGATGATGCATGAAGCATCAAAAGAAGATGGAAGGAATTCAGAGAGTCACTGCACCAAAATGAACAGGTTGATCTTCATCCATTTCAGGAGGTTGAATATGTTCAAGAACCAATTGTACAGAAGTAAGAATTCAAAGCTGCACTGAAGGAATTGGCGAAGAACAAGGCTCCAGGAATTGATGGAATACCCATTGAGATGTTTCAACAGACAGATGCCCCACTAGAGGCACTCACTCAGTTATGCCAAGAGATTTGGAAGACAGCTACCTGGCCAACTGACTGGAAGAGATCCATATTTGTACCCATTTCAAAGAAAGGTGATGCCACAGAATGTGGAAATTATTGAACAATATCATTAATATTTCATGCATGTAAAATCTTACTGAAGATAATTCAAAAACGATTGCAGCAGTATGTTGACAGAGAACTTCCAGAAATGCAGGCTGGATTCAGAAGAGGACATGAACAAGGGATATCATTGCTGATGTCACATGGATCTTGGATGAAAGCAAAGAATACCAGAAAGATTTTACTTGTGTTTTATCGACTATGCAAAAGCATTCCATTATGTGGATCATAACAAATTATGGATAACATTGAGAAGAATGGGAATTCCAGAACACTTAATTATATTCATTAGGAACCTGTACATAGACTAGGAGGCTGTTGTTCGAACAGAACAAAGGGACACTGCATGGTTTAAAATCAAGAATGGAGTATATCAGGTTTGTATCCTTTCACTATACTTATTCAATCCTATGTTGAGCAAATAATCCAAGAAGCTGGACTATATGAAGAAGAAAGTGTCATCAAGATTGGAGGAAGAATCATTAACAACTTGCAATATGCTGATGACACAACTTTGCTTGCTGAAAGTGAGGATGGCTTGAGGCACTTACTGATAGAGATTGAAGAATACCACATCTGCAGTATGGATTACATCTCAATATAAATAAAACAAAAGTCCTCAAACTGGACCTATAAGCAGTAGCATGATAAATGGAGAAAAGACTGAAGTTGTCAAAGACTTCACATTGCTTGGTTCTACAATCAATGCCAATGGAAGCAGCAGTCAGGACATCAGACGATGTATACCAAAACAAACAAACAAACAAACTCACTGCCATAGAGTTGGATCCGACTCATAACAACCCCTCCTTGGGTTTCCGAGGTGATATCACTATGGAAGTAGATTGCCCAACCTTCCTTCCAAGGAGTGGCTGGTGGGTTTGAACTGCCAGCCTTCTGGTTAGTGGTCAAATGGGCAAGTTGGCTGCAAAGGACCTTTTTCAAGTGTTGTGGAGCAAAGATGTCTCCTTGAGTAGTAAGGTGTGCCTGACACAAGCCATAATACTTTCAATCGCCTCATATGCGTGTGAGAGCTGGACAATGATTAAGGAAGACTGAAGAAGAATTGATGCTTTTGTGTTGTGGTGCTGGCAAAAAATGCTGAAAGTACAATGGACTGCTAAAAGAATTAACAGATCTGTCCTGGAAGAAGTGCAGCCAGAATGCTCTTTGGAAGCGAGAATGGTCAGACTTCATCTCACCTACTTTGGTCATGTTATCAGAAGGGACCATTCCCTGGAGAAGGCTGTCATGCTTGGTAAGGTGGAGGGTTAACAAAAGAGGGGAAGGCCCTCAATGAGATGGATTGACACAGTGGCTGTGACAATGGCCTCAAGCATAGCAAGGATTGTGGAGCTGATGCTGGACCGGGCAATATTTTGTTCTTCTGTGCATAAGGTTACCATGAGTTGGAGGTGACTCAACAGCGTCTAACAACAACAACAACATAAAATGTGGGATTGGATGATCTCTAAGGAACTTTTCAGCCATAGCATTCTAATCTTCTATATAGAATCACAAGGCTCGTTTTGAATACACGAATGACATTCTCAGATTTAACATTGAAAGGTTTAGTTTTTCTTGAGAAAACATAAAGGCCTGTGACACACAGGAGTTTGCAATTTTTCAAGATAAAATTTTGTAGTCATGTGTGAAGAAAAGATGCTCTTAAAAGGGATGGAGTATGCCACTGCTCAACTGCTACATATAAATGCATCTGTGTTGTTCTCAATTAAGACTCACCAGTGAAATGGCATTGTTATAAATATAAGAAAAATTGAGGATAAAATGTGCTAGATTTCTAAGTATTTCAAGTTTTTTCCCAGAGAACATCAGGAGCCTATTATGCTTCTTAGGACCTCTCGTGGTGTAGTGCCTAAGGCATTTGACTACTAACCAGAAGGCTGGTGCTAATCACCAGCCACTCCTTGGAAGGAAGGTTGGGCAATCTACTTCCATAGTGATACCTCCTTGGAAACCCAAGGAGGGGTCACTATAAATTGGAACCTACTTGATGGCAGTGAGTTTGGTTTTTGATTTATTATGCTTCTTGGAATTTAGTTAGTATTTTCAAGCAGGATAAAGGAATAGAATACTGGTTTTTCTTCAAATCATTTTGTATACAGAAAATTTTTGTAATTGGAAAAAAGAAGAAAAGAAAAGCTCCAAAAACCTGGAGTGAAAAAAAAAGGGAAGTGGAAGAGTTTATTGATATGACTTAGGAAAATTTCCAAACTGGGGAAAAAAACAAATGTGATGAAAATCATGTTTATTGGTTTAACCAATTTTTATTGTGCTTTACTTTGTATTACATACTCTACAAAGCATTGTGACTTAAGCAGTGAATAAAATAAAGCTCTTGACCTCATGAAGTTTTCATCCCATTTAGGGAGACTGATAAAAAATAAGGTTGTAACATATTGTCAAGTTGTGACATATGCCTTGAAGGAAAAAAAAAAAAAAAAAGTGGGTTGAGAGTATTAAAAAATAAAAAAGACATGCCATCTGGGGAACCCTCTGAGTAGGCAGCAGTGGGACAGAGATCTGAATACAGTCAGGAATGAAGGCGTGCATAGATCCAAAGAAAAAGTAGGGCAGGTAAAAGGAATAGTGGATGCACAAGATTTTGCTAGAAGGTGAGAGCCAGGACTGAAAACAGGGGCTGAAATGAAATTGTGCAGAGAAACTGGATCTCTAGCCTTCCCTCTCCTCCCTCTTCCTCTCCCTGTGGTATCACTAAGATATCTGCACAGCAAAAGGAACCATGAGAGCTCAAGTAAATAATTTTGGTCCCCAAATTTACCTTAAAGAAAGCCATCCAAGATTTAATTCCATTGCAGAGGAGAAGCCTTACACAACCCTACATAATGTAACTCAATTAGACTTCAAGCCTCTGATTACAAATTCTGAACAATCGTGAAAGCCCTGGCTGATGCCATATACTTACTGAAGGTGACGGGTAGAGGCTAAAATGAATGACTCTGTATTCAACTATTCTATACTGTCTTGCATATGTTGTTGTTGTTTGCTGTCGAGTCGGCCCCGACTCATAGCG